AAATCCATCTTTTCATCCATAGGTAAAGTGCTATGAGTGTAAAAATGAAAGTTTAGGTGCGAGATAAGTTAAATCCGAAAGTAATTTTCCCTCCCTTAAATGTGATGTTAAAAATTTAAGTGGTGTGCATGTAAATATGAAAGTTTACATGTTAGATATGTAAACAGATAAGAATTGTGTGATATGTATGTAAATGCCCCATTTTTTACAATTAAGATACGATTGAACAATCTATTTTGGCTCTACTTGCAATTTGCATGCGCCTCACAAAATCGCCGTCTAATAAGCTTTTATAACTAACTTTCGTCACCACTACAATTTTATATTTCAAATTTTTATCCATTATGGTCCCCAATATTTTCATATTTTCAAGCTTTCTCCCATTTAGTAGCTTATATCACCCCCAATGTTCTTATGAAATGAATAATTTGCAATATAAAGAATTCCTCTCCTATTTTGACTCCTTTGTTTTATTTTTATTTTTATTTTGCAAGAATAGTTGGTGTGAATTACATTTGTGACCTTAGTTAGTATTTGTTATATGTCAAATATGTAGGCGTTTTGGCACTTGGCCAGTTGCAGTGCTTGCTGAGGACAAGAAAAAGGTTTTGCTAGAAGGTCCTATTTGTAATGGCAGTCGAGTTATCGGATGGCAGACTGATCGAAATAAGTTATCTCGTAGATTCCACGTCGAAATGTCTGGATTTGCTTTTAACAGCACCATTCTCTGGGATCCAAAAAAATGGCACCGACCCAACATCGACCTTATCAGATACCAGGACTCTATCAGAGAGGGTTTCAAGGTTAGTTTTGCTCATATTTTCATTAAATTATAGGCCCATTTGCATAAATACGTCCCAACTCTTTTGTTTTGACATATTTAACACTTAAATTTCAATTTTTTACATTTACACCAACCAAATCTTCCACATCACATGAAAGTTCAGGTGTGAGAAATGCAAATACATATAAATCGTGTGCCGTTTATGTAAATGCCCCAAGAAAAAAATAGGATTACAAATGGATCAATGTGGTGCAGGAAAGCAAATTTGTGGAGCAATTAGTCGAAGATGAAAGCCAAATGGAAGGCTTGGCAGAAAATTGTTCCAAAGTTCTGGTCTGGAATGTACATTTTGAGGCCAATGAACTTCTATATCCTAATGGCTGGTTGGTTCCAAGAAATCTGGAAGCACTGATTCCCCTAAAACTGTAGAAGATAAGCTAAATCTCAATCTCTCAAAGCT